TTTTTAGAAAGACCATTTTTTCAAATTGTTGACATTTTTTGTAGTAGGTACTTAAAGAATATCCTGCAATCATACAAATTTCTGGTTTTCAAATTAAATGAAAACTCTAATGTTTTACAATAAACTAATTAATTAATAATTGGTTTTAAAAATGTTGATGTACCTATATCCTATATAATTCAAAGTTCGTACAAATAGTTTTTCAGTTATTACAATAATGTTTGTATTAAAGATAATGTTCCTTAAAAATGGTTTTACAATAATATTATAATATATTATATGTAACATCGGATTTAGTTTTTATAATTACCTCTACTATTTTTATAAATTATAAATATTGAAATATAATTAATATAATTACTATATACTCCTATATTCCATACCTATTATCGTGGTCAGTGGACCTATTATCCTTAGTACCTAAACAAAGTTAAATAACTTGACAACTGCTCGTCCACATTTTGACCAAATAATTTATAGACTTATAGTAGAATATAGGGGTTTTTCATTCGAAAATAAAAGTTTGTATCTCCACAAAATAGGTACTCCTTAAGGCTTAAGTAGTTCTAAAAATATCAAAAATTTAAAAATATGGTCCTTAAGTACCTACCTATATTTAAAAATTCCAAAAAAACAGATTTTGAATAAGCAACAGAATTATTGAAAAAAATGGGTTGAGCATAATTGGTGAATCACCCTGTGTATTAATATGTTATATACCTATATAAAATACATTCGTATATAACTCCGGGTTGACACAGAAAAGTCTGGCTCAATTAAACCCGGGTTAGGTTTCTGGGTATAACATTATATTATACATACTATAATATATTATAATAATATTAATAGATTATTAAATATCCGTAGACATTTAGGTTGACTCAGGAGCGTCTTTAGTTCAATGCCATTTGGGGAGGAGGGGATTTTATTCTTGAATACCTCTTTGCTAAACATAAACTTAAAACTTAGATGTTTGAAGTTTATATCAACGGATTGTATAAGCAGTGTAGAAATAATTACAAAATGTATAAAAAACATCACACGACTTATGGTGGGGGTCGCCCCCCACCCCCTTCACCCCTCTGGGACGCGCTTGGACTAACTCTACACCGTATCCACGATCAGAAACGTTTTTTGTATAGGTACAATTTGATTTATCACTGAATTAAAATTTAACACATCCATATTCATTGGCGTCATTTCAGTTTTTATTAGACTATAGCATGGTGCTATAGTGGTTAAGGTGGTGGAGGGAGGGGTGGTAAATGTGCCGACTTAAGGTTGATGTAAATACTAGACTGGGGCAAATGCCCCAGTTCCCCCCCCCAAATGACGCCACTGTCCATATTGTGACCTATTCAGTGACCGGCTACACTCTAAACTTACTAAATACATCAATGTGAATTCTCAAGTACTGATAAACTTTTGATGTTATAAACATTAAGTACTACTTTTTAATTGTACAACTGAATGACATGTAATGAAATATCTACTGATGTCTGATGTACCCCTCTAATAAAGATGAACAGTTTAACGGGTGTTACCTATTCATGTTGTTATATTTGATTATAATTTATGATGATAATGGTATAAATGACATCATCTGTATTATGAAAATGTCAAGATTCAACATAGTATTTAAGTTAGGGTTAGCCGTTTAGGTTTATTGTTAAAATGTTTGGTGACTGCAGGTGAGTAAAAATTACTCATATGATATAAATAGTATAATCCTTCATCAGAATGTAATTCATTAAAATTCTACTTGCGACAATAATCACTAATATAATATAGTAATGTAAAATTATAATTTTGAGTGTACGCCGCAAGCGTAACAATATATCTCGAGTGACCTACTACCTACCTACAATTTTATGAAAAATTAAAATCGATTTATTAAAAAATATGGATTGCCAATCTATTGCGCATCGCTGTATACCTAATACGTGGTGCCTGCTACTGCCTATTAATTATTATAGAGTATAGACACTATACATACTACATAGGTACATAATGATTAATATGTTTTATTAACCTTATTATACAGTCAGCGGAGATAGCTGTTATGCATGTTACCTCTATAATTCTACAAGTACGCGAAGTACTCATCCGTCATCGTGAAAATCGTGAAATCCTCTATAATCTACATAACATAATAATATCATCATACCAACGTGTGTAAATGTGTTGAGACTTGAGATTTTAATATAATAATATACTTGTACCTATAGGCTATATAGTATATCTACATACTTGCAGCGTGTAAATGTGTGTGTAATAAATTCGTATATCGAAAATAACGATTTTGTTTACCTATTGTTGCAACTTGCAGTGCACGTACGTCATGTTTTTAAGAGGATTCTAGCAGTATGCAAGTATGCTACACCGCATGAGTTGTGATATCTTACCATCAAAGTGCACGAGCTGATCAAATTCTGAAAAATGGTTTTTAGGTATACTATTAGTTTTCCGTCTTACTCCATACACATCGAGTACTTAAAACATTAGAACAAACTAAATATTTTCATCCTATATATAGGTAGTAAAAGTGAGAAGTTAAAACTTAAAAGTCGTACCTATTGTATATTATTATATTATATTCACTATGAACTCAATGGACACAGAACTTATAATGACTGGTATAGAAAACCATGTTAGTCTTTAGAATCCTGCTAATAAACAACACAATTACACAATTATCGAGATTAGAAAATAAAAGTTTGGGAGGATATGACAAAAAAAATAGTGTCCCACAAATGACACCATGTCTACACTAGGTACGTTTTTAATTTGTTTTCCTGCCTACCCCAGTGTTAAGTTTTGTGAAGAATGGCTCAATTTCATACATTGACTCAGAAATTTAATGGTTGAAGTTGAAGCTTGAAGAAATTTATGGCACGCAGGCGATGAAAATAAAATTATTCGCCTAAAAAGTTGGTTTAAAGTGACCAGAAGTCTGGTCGAAAACTTTTAAAAGTGTTAAGCGAATTCGAAAAGAAAAAAGCTGGTGAGTATTGAGTTGAGACGAGAATATAAATTATTAATTTTAAGTTTGATCAATACAGTTTATTTTATACATCGTATTTTAACTACTATATAACATGAGACATTTTAGGAGTGCAAAAAGGGGCAAATTTTCTGAGTGTGCCGTTCAGAATCTTAAAATATGTTCTCAGTACAATTTTTTTTATGATTTATTGAGTATATGAAATATAATAAATATATATGTATTATGTATATGTGTATATTGTGTATGCTTGACTATTGTAAAATAGCATATCTATATGAGATATTAAGATACAAGGTACAGGACATGGGTTATTTTCTTTGTTTATCACTCTAGTGATAAAATCACTGTTTTCTCTCTTAAACCGTATACTTAATCCCTACAACTGTAAGTTGCTATATGGCTACGTATATATTTATAAATTCCAAAAATTAATAACTTTATTATTGAAGAAAATAAGGGGGTGAATGGGTGATCATAGGCGAATCACTCTGTAAAGTCAATAGTTTAGAAAAACTAAAATGTATATTTAATTCAATAATTTAGTATAAAAGTATAAACTTATAAATAGTTATATCATATACCTACAGCAGATCCTGGTTACGGCACTATTATATAGTAATACTTGTATATTATATATTTACAGGCTATAGTTAAAAATTGAAACTACTATAATATGTTAAACAATATTTTGTCGACACTCAAAACTATTGATAAATTTAAGCGTATACAAGGTAAGTATATTATATTTGCATAATACAATATACTTATATACACGTACATAAATACCTTTAGATGGGTACAATTAATAATTGTACAAATGTATTCAAATCTGTCTTAACATATGCAGTAGGTATGCACTATATGTCTATATGCACTTACACGACATCGGACACACCATCCCATGGTTTAAACTATTTAAAATTTTGGCGCCACTGAAACGTGCTAGCTGGGGCGTATGAGGCATGGATCATGGACGGATCACGGCTTTGCCCTGTCAGTACCACGATCCACCCCGGGTGGCTGGTGCTGCCGCCTGCCTCGGCGAGTTTATTGCCGTGCATGTGCATTATGCAATCAAATGTGAAATCCGTTGGAATTTACATTTTACTCTTCGATATTATTGTGTTAAAAATTGTATATTTTTACGCATGAAAGCGCAAATTAAGATTATTGTTTGCACACATATTGTTGTGCACATAATGTTATACCTAATTTGACAATGTACATTCTGTAGGCACTATTGGCAGTATTATATTATTATTAAGTTAAAACAGTAATATTGACTATAATAATAATATATACGTTGTGTTGACATACCTACCTCCGACCTTGACACCGGTGCGCTTAGGTTTTTTCTTCCATGACACCGGACAAAAGAGGAAAACGGCACTCTGCGCTCTGACTCATGTAAATTATTGATTCGTCGCGGTGGCGGCTGCGGCGGTGGTGGAGGGCGCGAACGGTCGTCGGCGCAGAGCGGGACGAAGTGGTGTGCTGTTGGAGGAGGCACAGCTATCCTGCTATCGTCGGTTGCGGCGGAGTAGTGCGAGGAGGAGGTGAAGGAGGAGGAGGAGGAGAGTCCGCCGCCGCCGCCGACGTCGTCGTTCTTGTAATGTAACGTTGTACGAGTGTATCGTGTATGGTGAGTCGTGAGTGCGTGCGTGTGCTACTTGATTTTTTTTTCGTTTTTTCTATGCCAGTGTATAGTTTCGCTTCTCCGCGTGCGTGTACGCTGTCCGATTTTACTGCTGAACGTCGGAATTTCGTTTTTCACGTGTAATCTAAGGGTTGTCATATACCGCGACCCTTGGGAATATAATTTTTTTTTTAATATTAGGTAGTTTGTTATTTTTTTTTTTTCATGTACATTCTTTTGTAAACACACCGTTATTATCCATGAGTTTTTAATATATACACACGGTGAACTCCGTCTCGCGTCATCCGTCGTAGTTTTTTTCCTCCCGTCCGTAACAACGCCCGCAGTGCCGAGAAAATGTCTTACAAGACGTCGTCGTCGGTCGTGGTCGCCGCCGCCTTTATCGCTTTGTTCGTCCCATTCGTTTCCTGTTTCACAGCTTCTGACGGTAAGTTCAACGCGTTTTTACTTGACTTTGTCGCCGTTTACGGCCGCTGCGTCTTTCGTTATTATGATAATTATACCGTATGCCAGTACGTATGTCTTTTACCCATCGTAGTGTTACGATGGGTTCGTCGTTCGTGTTACGGGTACGGCTATATTATTGACTCGTCTGGCCGCCCGGAAGGGAGTCGGTCAAGATCGGTGGCAGACCCGTCTGCGTAACGGGCGTCGGAAGCGCTTGCAAGTTGCAGAGCGAGAGAGAGTGAGACAAAGAGAGATTTACGAATAAAATAACGATCATAAAATAAAAACGTGATTTACGTGCCGAAGCTTGGTCACGTAGGTGGGTGGCGGGCAGGTGGTATGCCGCAGATTGGGAAAGAGATGCGCGGAGGCCGGTTGGAGTCTGTGGTGAGAGTGTAGGCCGCAAATCTGTGATAGTGTGATGTGTTGTTGATCGCAGCGACTGGGCCTCTGTTTTGGTTTATTTCATGTTCAATGGCGGCGTCTCGGTGTCGTATCTGTAGGTATCTTTTCGAGTTTTTCTGACTCGTTTACCCACCCAATCATTTTATACGACAGACTGTTCGCTGTGGGGAAACACATTTTATGTTATCACACAACTATTATATTATATTTTGACTACTTTCCCGGTCAACTAAGACCCCTCGGGCCTCTTGTATGTGCCAGTTGTTAAAACCGTCAACAATATTGGCGACCTGTACGAAAAGATACCGACATTCCTGCATAATATTTTTGTTCAAGTACCTACTGAATAGATAAAGTTAATACTGTCATAAAAAATATCGGCATTGCCAATAGTTGTTTTCCTCACTGTGTTCTTTTTACAGTCTTACTATCCTGAGACAGGTGTTTTGTCTCCGTGATAAGAGTTTTTTAATTCTTCAACGCAATATTACCATATTCTATGTAATTATTCAACTTCAACTGTGTACTCTGCCAGGCACTTAAATTACCACTTGTACACAATTTAAGTTATATTATCTTAAATCGTGCCACTTAGTGATAACCTAATACGAGCTTATGAAATTTGTTTTGTTTGTTATCTAGGTTAGTTACCTACCTAGTAAATTTGATAAACAAAATATGTCGTCATATTTTGATAACTGATTATTAATTAAATTATCAAACTTAATAGGTACCTATGTTAATACAAAAAAATTACAGAAATTAATAAAATATAATATTATGCAGTATGTCCCAGAAGTCCTGTATCACCCTTAGTATCTTCGTGGAAAATCAATTTATTTAAATGCAGTTTTTTTTTCAGTAATAAGTATGGAAACTGATTGATTAGCATAATATTTTTTTTTTCAAAAATTTAAAAATTATAAAAAAATTTTTTAGGCAAATAAGTTTTTTAAATTTCCGAGATAGCCATTTTGTTGATCGTATTTTTTAAAACAGTTAAAAAAAATATTAAATTTTAATGAAAATCGCCCAAGTTAGAGCTAATTATTATTTTGAATTTTCGTTCCATTTCTGATTAAAGCATGGGAATTGTATTTTGTTAATGCTGTATAGGTAAAATAACTAGGTATTATCCTTTGAAATTCAAAATAACTATTACCTCTAACTTGTGCAATTTTCATTACGTTTTAATTTTTTTTTATTTTTGAACTGTTTTAAAAAATACGATCAACAAAACGGCTACCTATCTGGGAAATTTAAAAAACTTATTTGCCTAAAAAAAATTTTGATAATTTTTGAATTTTTGAAAAAAAAAAAATTGAATACCTATTATGCTACTCAATCAGAATTTCTATACTTATTACTGTACAAAAAACTGCATTTAAATTATTCATTTTCCACGGAGATACTAAGGGTGATACGGGACTTCTGGGACATATGTATAGGTAGGTAGGTACTTATCGAATAAGGTAAGTATTTCTTATCCTTTTTTTAATTTTATTTTGAGTACTTTCCTACATTTTATTTTATTATTTAATCATAAATAGAATACCTCATATCATACTAAATACTTTTTTGTGATACTTTTATAATTAATCAGTGATGTACTATATTAGAATTATAGTTGTTTAGCTCATAAATTGTATTACCTTATACCAATAAAATTACAATAGCTGTTGCCTTCGACAAATGTCACAAACAAAAAAAAAAACCAGGTACCATGGTTCAGTAAATAACCGCAGTAGATACCTAACTAAAATAGTTTCAATTAATAGTTTTTAAAAGGTAGGGTACCTACAGGAAGGTTTGATATGATTTGTACTTATGTTATTGTTGGGAATTTCTTATTTCTGATTAGGTATTTCTGAGGGTATTTCATCTTGGTACAAAACGAATCTATACAATATAGGTAGGTAGTATACCTACTATAGGTAGAATTACATTTTAAATATTTAGTTAAGTAAACGTTTTTATAAAAATATTGTGCCTCCAGAAAGCACAATTTCAATTTTATCAAATCAAAAATAGGTATGGCTTATTATCGAGATTGTAACAGAACAAATTAAATACCTACCATTATGATTAAAATTAAGAAGAAAACATTTTTTTAAAGATAATGAAATCTTAACCAGAGTTTTTAGGTAGGTTCATATTATAATCTATTGATAGATATGTCACTTAAAATAATTTAGATATTTTATCTGTTTTATCATTATCAAAAACAAATTGTTTATCAAATATTTGGAATTATTCCACTGAATAATTTAAACGTTATATAATTATTTGTAACTCAAATGGTACCAACCAGGTATCTACAATTACAGGTCAAATAGTAAAATTGTTAGTTCAATGTTGGACTCAATAAATGTATTTATTTTAAGATTATTCAGTTAAAACATTTTGTTAATAAAATTCAGTTAAATTTTAGACAACAGGTATTCATTTTTTTTACTCAGATGGCTTAGAGAATATTTAAATTAGTTACCAAATACTTGATAAAAAAAAAAAAAAAACCTTAAGGTAGGTAGGTACTCATTAATTCAATACATAAAGGTAGGTTAACTAAGTACTAATTGAGTATTGGGAAAAACAAGTGCACTAATAAATGAATAAATTAGTTGTCAGTTTAAATAATGTTTGTTTAACAAATAATGTACCACTCAATGTCTGTAACTTTATGTTAAATATTCTTTAGTAAATAAAACTTTTTAAATAGGTAGGTAAGTTTTTATAATAAACTATTAATGTTTAAACATATCATAATAATGCCCATGTTATTAAAGAATAAAACATTTTGAAGTGATTCTTTTTTTAGACATTTCCTACTTGGGTAATATTAACTATTATTTATTATTCAGATATTAATAGTAGGTAAGCAGTATGCACCTACCTAATAGCCTAATGTTTTGTAATATTAATTATACACACTTAAAACTTGTTATAATACTAATATTAATACTAATTGTGTTATTTAAAGATAGCCTTTCTTAAAATGTTAATACCTAACTTTAAAATAAAAAATGTTTTTAAAAATAATTTAATTGTTCATACTTCTTTCCTCATTTCACTAGGTAATTCATTTAAAAATAACATTTAAAATATATTTCATGCATTGCTAATTAGATCATATCAAATGTTAATTGATTATCTATTTTTCTCATAGATAATAATATAGACATGGATAGGACATAACGCCTAATCGGTGAAGAATGGAATTTTAAAAATTTAGGCCAAAAATAGTATACCTATATCGATTATCTGATTATCTATTTAGATATACTACAAATTCGCTAGATTAAACTGAACCGGTGTAAAAAATAATGCACCAGGATGTTTGAACCATATCATTTACATGGTTCATGGGATAATATGAAATAATTTTAAACCGATCTAGTTTAGAAAATTTTTAAATAATCATACGTATACAAATGTAAGCAAACGGCCTCAATTTCTTTCTAGGTTGGACCTCAAAACTAACACATAATGAATATGTTATGTCCTATCCATGTCTTTATTATCTATGACTTTTTCACAAACCATATATTATTATCATTAAATATAATCAAGTATAAGCGAGGTATTACATTTCAATTAGGCAGGTTATCATTAATCGTATAGGTACTTATTATTTACATTTTTAAAAATAGTCCGTTGATATTTGATTTGAGACATTTTTATTTTTAATGTAAAAGACTGATGTAGATGTCATTTTATAATAGTTGATAATAATACATTTAAATCCATGATTTCTAGCTAGGTATATAGTAATAATTTACCATTAGTTGACAATAATCAGATTTGTTTTTCATAGTTTAAAATAACTTTTTTGATTTTCAGAAATCTTACCCAAATTGGTGATTGATGATAAACTTAGTGGATATCATGGCTTAGTAAAAGAAAATGAAACGCTTGTTGAAGTTGTTCCAGAAATTTATGCCATTGGTGATGTTTGTAATTTCAACATAGTTAACAAACATCATGGAGAAGCACCTTTTGAAGTAAGCGCAACTGTTCTAGAAATTGCTATAATTATTAAAGCACCTATTACCTAGATATATAAAATTAAAATAATTTTTTTTAATTATTAAGCAGATAATATTTGAATTTTTTAAGAATTACTTATAATTGTTTTAATTTTTAATTACATTTTGTAATTGTGTATAAGCGTACTGTCATATTTAGTTGGCTTTAACTCTAGCTTTCAAACATTATAGGTACTAGAGTTAGGTAATTAATTTAATAATATTATAGGTTTTATTATAACTATCTATAAATATATGAAATTTTAAATTAATTTTTTTAAATTAAAATAATAGGTATTTTGGTTTTACAAACATGTAAGTAAAATCAGAATCAAAACTTTAAAATAATTAAAATATTGGAACTTAATTAGGTAATTGATATTTTTTTTAATGTAAAAATAAATTTTCTGAAAAATTATAAAATTATATGACTATAGGCATGAGTATATTGAAATTGAACATAATAAATTGAGATTTGTAAGTTATAACAATACAATGGAATATTGTTTGAGCTATAAATTATATTCAATCCAGTTAAATTATTAAAGATTATAATCTACAACATGTAAACATACACTCTGTAGTCTGTTTTATATAAAAGTAACCATAGGTCAGGCGATCAGTTTTCATAGAGTGGCAGTCGAAAGACGAAACCACTCTCCTTGGCAAAGCCATTGTTGTTTCTTTTCATTTCTGATGTCCGAGTATCGACTATGGCTCTATGCCACTAGTGATGGACAACCAACCTCATGAAAATGCAAATTGATGGTTGTTGGAATAATAAAGTAACTCTCACCCTGTTTCATAGGAACTCTGGACTCAGTGCGAGCGTTAGCTATACTCGTTATAGCCACCGTACGCAGAAACCTGCCTCCTAAGGTTACTTTTATAATATAAGACAATAGTAAAGATATGATAATACAAGTCAGAGAAAGTCTACCTAATCAATTTTGAAATTTATATTTATAACTTATGCATTTAAATATTTTAAATTTCAAATAACATTTCAGTTTAAACTATTAAAATTCATTTTCAGATCATTCTTCGTCCAAATGGTTATGCTGAACTTCGAGCTCGCAAAACTTTAAACTGTGAGAAACGTAAAACGTATAAATTTGAAATTGCTGCAGTTTCATGTTCCGGTTTGATATCGGATAAGTGAGTTCTGAGAATTTTTAATTTAATTATTTTTAATATTAATTTGTTTTTAAATATTATAGTGTTACTGTGCATATAACTGTGGTTGACATCAATGAATATGCTCCACTGTTCTTAGATGCATCTTATGTTAAAGATGTTGATGAAGGCCAGTTGTATGAAGAGATAATACGAGTAGAAGCCACAGACCGTGATTGCACTCCACGTTTTGGTGACATTTGCAAATATGACATACTTAATGATGATCAACCTTTCACTATTAACAATGAAGGTATAATTAAGTATATTAAAAAAAATTTAGTTATTTGTTGTTTTTTTTTTTTTTCTAAATATTCTTTAAAAATATATAATTTTTAAAACAGATGTGTTTAAATTGCTTGTATGGTTAATTTCTTAGGAAGTATCAGAAATACTGAACCATTAGACTATGACAGAAGTCATAATTACATATTGTCAGTGGTTGCTTATGACTGTGGCATGAAGCAGTCTGCTCCTGTTATGGTCACTATTAAGGTGAATCGAATTTGCAAATTGGGTTGGAAAAGTGTGTATACCATATCAATCAATACTATACTATATTTTTAATATACATTTATTAAGTATTTATATAACTTTTTAGGTATCCCAGAAGAAATTGATTACTATCCTACTTCCGGTCGTAAAGATTTGTTTCCTAATGCACAGTTAAGACTATGTGATGATCCATGCCACGTGAAAAATGTTAATGCTAAGCTGACTCTAGCAACATCGCATATTGGTAAAGGTTGCGACCGTGATACTTACTCTGTTCAAAGCCAAAGAAAACTTTGTGGTAAGTGGTAACCTAAAAGTAGATAATATCTATTTACAAAATGATTCTTCTAACAGTCAACACTCATTATCTTGAATAGTATAACTTATTTGTAAAAAAAATAAATAAGATATATCCAATTCTTATATCTTATATTGCCTTTATTATTTTGTTCTTATTAGGAAACCACTATGGTCTATCAACTTTTGATTTCCATATGGATAATTTTATTTTTTATTTAATAATCTGAAGTCTAACTGTTGTGTTAATAATCTGTGTGCTTTTGACTGATGACTAATAAATTATAATGAGAAATTAAATAATTAAATAAACATTTTTTTTTGTTTAATTTTTATAATCTTATATAGGAGCAAGTGAAGAAAGTGTAGAACTTTTACCCGCTAACCATGTACCTTTATCTGCTGGAAACGCAATTAAACATGACGAAGGTCGTGAATCTGATCAGATGTATGAGTTTGATGGCAGTAGCACTGCTGTTGCTATACCCAATGACGTTCTTGACCATGGCTTATCATCGGCATTCACTATTTCTACATGGATGAAACATAAGCCTATGCCACACCAAGATAAGCATGTTAAAGAACACATTTTATGTTCTGCTGATGACCACAGTATGTTATTTATTTATTTATTTATATTTTGGTTCTATCTTTGCTGACAGTTTTTGTTTTTATTGATGTTTTCTAATTAGAAATGAATCGTCATCACTATGCTTGGTTTGTACGAAATTGTCGTCTTATACTACTTTTAAGACGTGATTTTTCGCAAGGAGATTTGAATATCTTTAGACCAGCTGAATGGAGATGGAAAATTCCACAGGTTAATATTAACAATATAAATAACATCGCGATATCAAAAAAAAATGTAGGTGTCGATATTCCGAATTATCGATATCTCGAACAAATTGTTTTTAAAATGATATTTAATATTAACAAATTATATTACACCAGTTCTTTCACATTCAAATCAGTTAGTTTCCGGTAACCCAAATACCCAATGGTCAGGGGAAAATAATTAAAATTAAAAATTAATTTCAATTACCACAATTATCATATCTAAATTTACTATAAAAAAAAAATTAGGATATCGATATCGTTGAAGAAGCCTAATAATTAGTAACATGTGTGAAAAAAGTGTAATTATTGCATAAATTATATTTTCAGGTATGTGACAATGAATGGCATCACTATGCTGTGTCAGTACAATTCCCCAATGTACAATTATACATTGATGGAGTACTATTTAAATCTGAAAACAAAAATCCGGAAGTTATTGATGATTGGCCTTTGCATCCAACTAAGGGTATTAATACTACTTTGACTGTTGGAGCCTGTTGGCAAGGTAAAATTAAATTGTTTTGTATTAGTATTTACTACTAATAATATTATAAATTATTTATATTAATAATAATAATATTTTATTATATTATTTTAGGTTCAGAAAATAAAATGAAACATCATCTTCGAGGATATTTGGCTGGCTTATCAGTACTTTTGCATCAACTTGAGAAACCAGAAGTACTTGCATGCTTACATAAATGTAAAGAAAGTCTAGAAGTTCCTGCAATGGAGTTGTTGGAACCTGGAATGGAACTGCTAACTAACAGTGGTAAGTGTCATTAATTACACTCCTGTAATATATAAGTAAGTCAATTAAAGAAAACATTTAATATTATTATTTTTATGTATTTATTTTAGAGTTAACTGAATTATCAATTGAGGGTGATAACAAGACAAATTTGGAAGTATTGGTGAGGAAAATTGGTTATTCTAATAGCCGTGACTATCCAACTCCCGGTAGACGTAATCTTCACTTAACTACATCTCTTATGTAAGTAAAAATTTATTTTAGAATTTTTTTTATTATTTTATTTTTATTTATATTTATTTTTATAAAGTTGTGAGGGTGGTCGAGAAGTCAAGATGCCTCCTGCTGAAAGCTATATAATGGTCCACCGACCTCAACAACCTAATATTATCATTAACGGTACAAATACAGTACCTAGAGAATACCATGAATTTAGACAGGGTGTACAAGTTTTCCCTGATCTTGCCATTAGCATTGAACCGGAAAGTTATGATTACGAATCTAAAAATCGTAAGTATTGACTATATTTTGTTTTTGAAATAACTTCTAATGTTGTACTTTTATTTTATAGCTGAATTGACAAATGTATTAGAGCGTCGTGTGGATTCCTGTATAATATCTGTTTATCCTTCACTGAATCCTGACCATGAGACATTAACTATTCCTGCTGACATGTTGGCTAAATTCGGAATTTCAGCTAAAGTTTCTAAAGACGGTGTAGCTTTCAACAATGCTGATATTGTATTCCATTATCAAGAAGCTCTACGTGATGTCCATTATACCAACTTCAAGCCTGCATACTATCTAAATCGTCAATTCAAATTGGTCTGTTCAGAAATGAATGGGAGGTTTTTGAGTAATGAATACATACAAACTGTGAGTTACATTGTTAAAGCAATACTTGTTCACATATTTTTTTATCCAGTAATATCTTATTTAGATTTTGAAATTGATATTTTCAGTTAACTGTAGTCCATCCAAAATCTCCGACCATTGTTTACACTACTACTACAACACTTCCGACAACTGCTCTACCTGCTGCTTCATTAGTAGAAGAAAATGATGCTGAACCAAAACCAGCTCATGCTCAAGTTGTTCAACATTCCGTAGAAGCAAAACAAGCACAAACTATATTTGGAAATTACTTGGATGGATCTATTGATGAACGGGCACAAGCTATTGTCACTGGTGGTGGACATGCTGTTACAATTATCATTGTAGTGTGCGTTGGATTTTTAGTTTTAATGATTACATTAGGCATTGTGCGTATTAAGGCCGCTCACCAAAAAGCATCACAGGATGAAGTCCAGGACACAGAGATGGCTTGGGATGACTCAGCTCTTAATATTACCATAAACCCTATGGAGGTAAGCTTCAACCATTATTATTTGTCGATTACATTCATATCATATTATATTTTGTGTTACTTTTAGCAATTGGAATGTGATGGCAGTGGTGCAGCTGGTGGTGCGTTATCAGCTGGCAAACATAGGCATGCTGAAAATGAAGACGATTCTTCTGATGACAATATGAGTTATGATTATGATGATAGCTCAGATGATGGTGGTGGCAATGAAGAAGATGACGGTCTACACAGAGGCTGTGCACCTCGTTTAGAATGGGATCATTCTACCATGTCTATCTAAGTCGTGTTTTATTATTAAAAATTCATGCGCACCAATACGACTTGCAGCACCTGTCCTTTTATAGGTTACATGGTGATTCTATTTTTTAATACTAAACAAAAATCACTCTTTTTTTGCATATCTTTCGAAAACGCTTGACTAACGCGCTTTAGAATATTTGAAATTCGTTTTTTAGACATACAAGTTTTAAATAAATTAAAGAGTGGGGCATTGTTGGGAGTCAATCAGACTTTTACTTAAGTTCAAATAACTTACACTATTATTTGTTTGCAATGATATCAATTTATATATTATAATATACATGATTTAATGTAAAATTATAATCTTGACACTGTTACCGCGCAACTTTCTTTATACTACTATGTGTTTTTTTTTTATTAATTTTACTTGTTTTATATTTTTTTTCAGACATATCCTAAATTGTATTATTATTTTAACTAGCACTATCCCCACTCTTTCTTTAATTTAGTGTTCTTACATAAAATGTATACATATATATATATATAGAACAATTTTTTTAAAAAAAAAAAAAATGGAGAAGACTGTAAATAATGTAAAAAGAAAAGAAAAAAATTAAAAGGCTAATATTCGCATTTTTAATGTGCCATTCGATCAATCAATATTATATGTTTAGTTTTATAGTTTTGAAAGCTTTACAAATCACAACCATTAACGAAAATGTTCTCCTTTTTACTCCGTAATTCATTCCAATGCACTCGCTTGTCGTCTTCTCAACACCTGAGCAGCCAACTTCTTGCCTATGTTCGTGTTTCCATTTATGTATTTGATACCGTCCAAATAGATTTCCTCATGAATTTTTATTTTTTAAAGAACTGTGTTTTGCAGTTTAGTATTATTGGTTGTGCAATAAAGTACTTAAATATATTATTATAATAAAAACAACGTTAATGATGAAATTACTGTGCACCTTGTTACTTTGTCAGTGATATCTTTTTTTGTATCATCAAATTTATGTGACACAAATGTAAACTTGGTGAATATTTATACATTTTCTTACTATGGACAAATATCACCTTATCTTATACTAGTTAAAAAAGTGAACAAATTAATACATATTATACTATGATTTATATTGTTACATAATATATTATACATTTTATGTTTATTCTAATTTTTATTCAAAATAATAACCAATAAATTAATAACTACTAAATAAATAATGAAAAATAAATTATCATTACATTTAAATACATATTTAAAATCTAAAGATTATAATAAATGAATTAAAAGTATATAAGATTATTTTTATGTAAATTTAGAGTAAATTGTAAGATTATACACATACATTTTAAAAGTATTAATTATAACATCTTGCTTTGGTATATCATAAGTATATATTATTAACTAATTAGGGTGTAGGTAGTGATTGGTGGTATTATAATAATTATTATCCTTAATGATTTTTATTTAATAGTGAATGTATTATTATTTTTATTTTTTATCCTTTGTAACTAATGATTATTAGTAAAATTATAATTTAAATTAATTTATTCCTAATCAAAAAAAGTTTAAAAAAATTGATGTGCAATAATTTGTTAAACATATTTTCTGTATTGTGTGTATTTTTAGATATTGCAATGTAACATTTTTTTTTCTGCTAATATAAATAAATCACCTACACCTGTTATGACACCCATGTTAATTTGTTTTATACCTGTAACTTGCAAGTACTCTACTGACCACTATGATAAGTATAACTGCTGTTACTAATTGTCACTGTTCAGCTGCTCTCTATTGACAAAGTTACAAGAAACAAAAAAAAGGAAGCATACCCGGTTGTTTTTTTTTCCTCATTTCTTTGTTTAATGTTTAACAACCCAAACAAGTTATCTGTACCACATAAAATAAAGGAAATAAATTATAGTATATTATTTAATTTGATTGGTCGTCTAATTTATGTTGGCTGTATGTGTGTGGACATTTTAATGGTTTAATAATATTCCTCATGTTTTGGGATTCAATTTAAATACATGTTTCTTATAAGGTTTATTAAACCAACTATGTCAAGTGTAAAATCCGTTCCAAATATTACCAAGGAGATGAGCTTAATTTTATTGTAATAATTTATGCATGATTTGCTGATTTTTGCGATAATTTTAAATTAAATGAATAAAATATATTTGTTACCAGAAACCACCTTGAAAATTGAAATTCGCATTTCAAAGTTTTTTTGCCATTTATAATATTATATATCACAAATCTATTAAGCAAACTGCTCACCATACGGGTTCCCAAGAGATATAGTAGATACCAAGTCACAAGATCAATATTACAGTCGTTTTACATTTTGAAATATTCATCTTTATTGTTTTTTTTTCTTTAAACATGATAACATTGTTGCTTATGTAAAAACAAATGAAATACAAGATCCCATTAAGTTTTGTATTCAGCAGTTTAAAAATATCACAGTTGCCAAGTTTTTAAATCTTAAAAATTAAATGATGAAATTCTCATTCCATCCATCTCAGTGTTCACAGTCCATTAATATATTTTACCCAAACATCACTATATTGTTATTCAGTCACCTATAATACATAGGTAGTGGTTTTGAGTTTATAAACTACAAAGACACATTTAGTGTAGTTTTATTTGCTTAGGTGGACTCTAATTACAATTTTTTGAATGCAAATATAAGATTCCATGTGAAAATAAGTGAGGCCGTGAGGGTGATGCAGGGGCGTCCTTGTGTGTGGGTGGGGGGGCATCGCTTCCTCCGTAAGGTGACTGACTTACATACCTAGTAATTATTGGTAAATGTTATAATTAATATTAAATTATTTGACATTTTTTTTTCATATGAAATTATAATATAATATGAAATTTCATAATATTATCTTGTTATCAAAACACGTATTCGAGGTCATATAATTAATTTTTTTATTATTTCCCCCCCCCCCCCTAACCATGGCCAAGATCTAAAGACGCCCCTGGGGTGATGTGTTTAAAAATATCTCTATGCATGAAAGTATAGAACAAAATGAGTTTGTATGTTTCTATCAGATCAACCATTAAGGGGATTGGAAGCGGCGATTTTCTGTCTTTATCTAACACACGTGGAACATAGGATTATAGACGTGTTCTATGTCCAACGTACCGATTAATCTAATGAAGCGATAAGAATTCTGAAAACAGATTTGAATTTGTCGTCAAGTCTACTTGAGATCGACTTTCCCACATTTTTGATATTGTCCCACCAAAATCATAAAAATGATATATTATAAAAAGTACTTAAAAAATTTACAAATTTCAACTTTTGGAGAAGTTTAAATCAAAAAATCAAAAATGTGGGAAAGTCGATCTCAAGTAGACTTGACGACAAATTCAAATCTGTTTTCAGAATTCTTATCGCTTCATTAGATTAATCGGTACGTTGGACATAGAACACGTCTATAATCCTATGTTCCACGTGTGTTAGATAAAGACAGAAAATCGCCGCTTCCAATCCCCTTAAGAGAATTATTGCATGTCCTCGGTCTTCTGCTTGCTTGCTGCGGATGATGTATTGATGCATTTGCATTTCCTCGGCGTGCCTACAACTAAACCCTACTCCTGAGTTTTTTTAAAAGGAAGTTATGAAAGAGTATTCAACCATCGTTTATCCCGTGCCCTATGTGTTGTAGAGAAGGCGTTTGGAATAATTTCTTCAATATTTCGAGTGATGAGAAAACCAATGTTACTCGAACCGGAAAAAGTAATAATTAGTATTACACTATTACCTTAACCTGTGTTTTGTGAATTGTTACATAATTTTTTAAGAAGAAGTAAAACTTCCTCTTCGAAATATTCACCAAATGGGACATTTTATGTCGAATATCTAGGTAATAGGTACGAAATGAATTCGTTTCATACTTTTCAACAAACGGAAAAGTACCTACCTATAGGTACCTTAACAAAATAAATATAAATATTTTAAAATGTAATTTACACACCATCTTAGTTAGGTACTTAAACTATGGTACCTACTAAAATAATGTTTATATTTTTTAATAGTTTAATTTATATAATATTACCTATCATATATTATATTTGCATATAATAATAAATTGTATATACCCATACACAATAATGCATAATAAGATCTAGATTTATTTGTTATTCCACATTATAGAACTAATAGTGGAGCCTTCTCTTTTCTACCAAGAGCTCTTAGGTTAGCCAATTTAATCTCCCACCATCTTGATTTTTTTAATTCTACTCGTGTAAATTTTAAACTAAATACTGTATTGCTTCTAAAAAAACCACATTTTATCTAATTATTATTATTACTTAATATTGTTACTTGTCGTATACATTTATTCTTAGTCATTTATTTTTAATTTTAAAACATTATTTAAATTTTTGTATTTTTATTACCTACTTAATTTATATGTATTTTGATTGTTGTCATATTGTTATATTATATACTTTGTAAAGGGCTATTGCCCGTTGAATATATTCAATAAATAAATAAATAAATAATAAAACGTAAGTAGGTACCACAAATTAAGATTAAAAAAGAAATTCACTCTAGGTACATGGGTATCACATAAAATAAGTAGTAGGTGCCTACGTAAAATTCTAACGAAAAATGTCAATCAATCAACTAAAACGTGTATACCTATTAAATAAATATTGTCAATTTTTTAACAAAAATTAATTCTTACAATGACCCAACCTTAAACAAATTATTGTATTATAATATAATATAATATATTATTTATCAAAGTTTGAATTTGCATATTTCATCATGTTTTAGGAAAAGTGCACATCTGTGGATCAATTGTCGGGAAAAATCATACTTGGGTAACAATGTAACATATATAATTATATAAATATTATATATATTATATTATAATATCATCATCGAAGTACACACAAACTGTGTTTGTTCTTTTTCTGCATCATATTTTATGAGCTAAGTATTTAATTTTAGGCAATTTGGTAGTAAAATCAATAAGTACGTTCATCAGTTAAATTCCCTATATTTAGGTTATAGGATC